CTTAACCAACTCCTCACCCTTTCAATTCTCAGGCCACTCAAATCCCCACAAGTTCAATCTAAAATCAAGACCGATTTGGGACCAGACCGGATCAAGACCGGACTGTATCTAATTCAATCTTTGGTTCTTGATCAATTGTAAAGTTTTCGGAGGGCATTTAGATAATTTTTAGGCGATTTTTTCGAAAAGCCATTTTACTTAGATTTTGAAGGATACAAATCATGGATTCGTCCCAAGGAACCAAGCAAAAATGGCCCCTGAAAAAAGTTTCCAAATCGGTGCTTATTACACTTAATCAATTGTGAAGAATAATCTCATACCGAATCTAAGATATGTAGCCTTCAAAATCCAAGAAAAATTGCTCTTCGAAAAAATAGCTTAAAATTTATGAAAATGCCCTCCGGAAATTTTCAACCCAAATCTATGACCAATAGACTTTATCATCGTTGGAGAATAGCCCCAGGCCGAATCTGTGATCTGTATCCTTCAAAATCCAAGAAAAATGGCCTTTCAAAAAATTGCCTGAAATATGTGATGATATCCTTTTGGAATCTGGCAAAAATGGCTCCGGAAAAAATCTGTCCAAATCGGTGCTTATTACACTTAATCAACTATGAAGAATGGCCTTAGGCCGAATCCTTGATCGGTATGATTCAAAATCCAAGTAAAATGGCTTTTCGCAAAAATCACCTAAAAAATACGAAAAATGTCATCCGAAAACTTTACGCCAAAATCGGCGACCAATAGACTTTATCATCGGTGGAGAATAGCCCTAGGCCGAATCCGAGATTTGTATCCTTCAAAATTGAAGGAAAATGGCCTGTCGAAAAATCGCTTGAAATCTTTGAAAGTACCCTTCGGAATCTGGCAAAAATGGCCCCAAAAAAATCCTCCCAAATACGTGATTAATACACTTAATAAAATATGAAGAATAACCTTAGGATAAATTCATTATCTGTAGCCTTCAAAATCCAAGTAAAATGACTTTTCGAAAAATCACTAAAAATTTACAAAAATGCCATCCAAAAAATTTTCCGCACAAATCGGCGATCAATAGCCTTTATCATCGGTGGACAATAGCCCTAGGCCGAATCCGTGATCTGTATCCTTCAAAATTCAAGGAAAATGACATTTCGAAAAACCGCATGAAATCTGTGATGGTATCTGTTATGGGACAATCCAAGTACCACATCAAAAATACAAGGGAAGGAACCCTTGTATATTAGTATCCACCAAGCTCATTAGTATGAGGCCTTTTGGGGAGGACACCCAAGAGTAAAACCGTGCGGGCTTGGCCCAAAGCGGACAATATCGTACTAATTGAGCAACCTGATTATGACAAGTGGTATCAGAGCCTGGTTCGGCGGATCCGGTGCGGTGGATGTTAGTTCGGTGGACCCTCGTTAGTTGACCTCGGGGTTTGAGATCTGCATCTGGTTTGGTGGATCCACGAGAGATCCACGTTTGGGCTACATCTGGTTTTGGGCCTGGTCTGTAACCGTTTCCTTTTCCATATTAGATTAGGTTTAGACCCACATGGAGAATCTCCTCTGTAATCTGCAATCTCCTCGATATAGTGAAACTGGCTCTCTCTCGCCCATGGACTAACACACATCGTATTAGTGAACCATTTAAATCGTGTGTCTGTTTTCGATTCTCGCTTTCATATTCTTGCTTCTCAACTCCGGTGATATCCCAATCCATAGCAGCGTAGTTATAATAGTATCCCTATGAAATCTTGCAAAAATGACCCCGGAAAACCCCCGCCCAAATCGGTGCTTAATACACTTAATTAACTATGAAGAATAGTCTTAGAACGAATCTGTGATCATAGCCTTCAAAATCCAAGTATAATGGCTTTTTGAAAAAAAAATCGCCTTAAAATTACGAAAATGCACTCCGAAAATTTTCCTCACAAATCGGCGACCAATAGACTTTATCATAAGTGGCGAATAGCCCCTGGCCGAATCCGTGATCTGTATCCTTCCAAATCTAAGGAAAATGGCCTTTGGAAAAATCGTCTGAAATCTGTGATGGTAGCCCTTTGGAATCTGGCAAGAACGGCCCCGGAAAATACCCGACCAAATCGGTGATTAATACTCTAAAGAATAGCCTCGCGTTGAATCAGTGATCTTTAGCCTTCAATATTCAAGAAAAATGGCTTTCCGAAAAAAATGCCTAAAATTTATGAAAATGGCCTCACAAAACTTTCCGCACAAATCGGCAACGAATAGGCTTTATCATAGATGGAGAATTGCCCCAGGCAAATCCGTTATCTGTATCCTTCAAAATCTAAGAAAAATGGTTTTTCAAAAAATCGCCCGAAATCTGTGATGGGTACCCTATGGAATCTGACAAAAATGTCCCCAGAAAAAATGTGCCCAATTCCGTGCTTATTACATGTAATCATCTGTAAAGAATAGCCTCAGGGCGAATCCGTGATCTATAGACTTCAAAATCCAACTAAATGACTTTTCGAAAAAAATTTGCCTAAGTTAGTGCTTAATCAACGGTGAGAATTTGCCTTAGGGAGAATCCGTGATTTGTAGCCTTCAAAATCCAAGTAACATGGTTATCGAAAAAATCGCTTGAAAATTACGAAAATGTCCTCTGAAAATTTTTCGCCCAAATTGGTGACCAATAAACTTTATCATTGGTGGAGAATAGCCTCAGGCCGAATCCATGATCTGTATCCTTCAAAATCCAAGTAAAATGGTCTTTCGAAAAATCTCCTGAAATGTGTGATGGTACCTAGGGGTGGGCAATGGCCGGGTTGGGTGGGTTATGGTCTCAAATTGACCCACCCGCTTACTAGCGAGTTGGAATAATTGTGACCCCCAATCCACCCACATACTTCTGCGGGTTTGGTTAGGTGGGTGGCGGATGGGTGCGGTTGGGTCGCGGGTCAACCCACAAAAGTAATTATCCAACTAGCCATTAAGAAAGTTGACTAATATCTATAATAAGTTCATAGAAAATTAGTAAGACCGTATCAATAATTTGTGAATTTGATATAATTAATAATTTATAGTTTACATCCCAATATTTAATAGATATTAACAATAATTTGCATAGTGATATCCAATATCTAATGGATATTGCACAACACAACAATCACAATAGTAGTCAAAACTATTCTTTATTCTCCACCTTTTGAAGTATGTGGTCAGACTATAGTGCAGTTCGAAAATATGATGAATATTCGATACTATAAGAAACAATATTTTTTCATGTAAAAATAGGAAGCGAGTCGGGTGACTTGCAATCCACCCACCACCCACACACATAAGTGCGGATGGGAGATTTATCAATACGCAATCCACCCACATCAATCACCCACAACGTGCGAAACATGTTATTTTTGGGTAGATCGATATTAATCCGCGGATTAACCACCCACGTGCTCACCCCTAATGGTACCCCTTTCAAATCTGGCAAAAATGGTCCCAGAAAATATCTGCCAAAATCGGTGCTTAATACTTAATCAACTCTGAAGAATAGTCTCAGGCCGAATTCGTGATCTGTACTCTTCAAATCCAAAGATTAACCACCCACGTGCTCGCCCCTAATGGTACGCCTTTCGAATATGGCAAAAATGGTCCCAGAAAAAATCTGCCAAAATCGGTGCTTAATACTTAATCAACTGTGAAGAATAGCCTCAGGCCAAATTGTGATCTGTACTCTTCAAATTCCAAATAAAAGGGCTTTCAAGAAAATCACCTGAAAATTACAAAAATGCCCTCCAAAAAATTTCCTCCCAAATCGGCGATCAGTAGACTTTAAAATAGGGTTTCGAGCAGTGTTATTAAAGCCGATCCAAGCCGTTCGGCCCGACTGATAAATCGTCACCCGATCATAAAACCGGCTCGGAACAGTCTAAAAGCCGCTCCAGTTTTATGTAGCGGTTGGCAAGCGGCCGAGGCGGTTAACTGCTAGAGCCGCTCGTCTAGTTTTTTTCATTCACCCGTTAAATTTAATTAAAAAAATTGCAGAAAATTGAAATAAACAAAAAATGTCGGGCTCTCAAACTGAATCCTTATTTCCATTTCACAATTTCGAAGGAAAGAGACGAGCTCTGATTAAGAAATGTCCACTATTTATACCGATAACGTTTATTAAGTACCGATTCTCTAACGGTTTTTTAAACGGTCTAATGCTTGTTGGACCACTAAAGTGCCAGCCGTTCGCATTACCGGGTCATCCTCCGGTTTCTGTTCGGACAACATTCGTTTCGAGTACGATTAATTTTTGTTTACATTTGAGTCTTAAAAAATAGGTGGAAATTACATTTTTAGTACCTCAAATTTTTATTTCTGACATTTTGATACCTAGACTTTTTAAATTTTACAAACAGGTCTACTGCTAAGAAACTTCTGTCTGCTTGAAAAACTTCTGGCCTAGTTTGAGGTTTTGGCCTACTATGAGAAGGTTCTGGCCTACGTTGAGGAGTTTCTGACTTACTTTGTGTAGGTTCGAACATACTTTGTGGAGGTTCTGGCCTACTTTGAGAAGATTATAGCATGCTTTAAGGTTCTGATATGTTTTATAGAGTTTCTGACATACTACGGTGGTCCCCTTTTCTTTTTCACATTTAATTCAAAAAGGAACTACTGGTCCCCCTTCTCATTCCTCCAATTATTATTAACGATCAACGTGTCTTTCCTTCATTCTCTCTTCATTAATTGTGGTCAAGTCATTAAAATGAAAAAGACATCCAAAGGAAATGTTCCTATTGGCTGGAATTAGCGTTAGCACCATTATAATAAAAAAAGTGTTAGCATTCTAGCATTATCCATGACTAGTTTGGGAGAAAAAAATTTACAAGGGAAAATTTATCTTCAATAATTATGTAATCAAAATTGGCTTATTTACAAAAATAATTCTCTAGTAAAACTATTGAACATGTGATGTTCGGTTTGAGTATTATAAATTATGTACAAATATTGTTATTTTTTTTCATTCCCGAGCACGAGATAAGGTAGATCCCAGCATCCACCTTCTTAGAGCTCCACCTTACCTGGAAGCACAGGGACGCTCTGTTCATTCCAAAAGAAATAGTTAGGATCGACAGCAGTTTTCACCTTCACCAGCCTCTCGAAATTCCCATCAAAATACTTATCGCCGTACACCTTCCCTTCGGCGTAGCTGTTCTTACTACCGCGCTTCACGGTGCCGATGTCCAAATCCCTGTAGTTCATATACGCCCTCCTCGGATTCTTGGAAACGAACGGGGTCATGTAGCTGTACATCCTCCGAATATCTCCCAGATACTTCTCCTCCGCCTCCACCCCAGGCTCCTTCCACCCAATCGAGTACTGAATCTTGTAAAGATTCCCTGCACGATGAGGAAACGCCGTCTCCGCCGCCGGCACCTCGTCCATTGCTCCGCCGTACGGGTTGAACACAAACCCTGTTTTCCCCGACTCCATCATCTTAGCCCAAATCCCTTCCAAGCTAGCTTTCGGGATTGGAGTCACAACGTAATCCGACTTCCTCTTCCCAGATTTGATCGATTGCAGCTCCCTGCTCAGTAGCGCCGCCGTGTTATTCTCGTCGTCTAATCCCCACCATAGAACGGACTGAATCCAGCTCATTTCCAAGCAATCTTCTTTCTTCAAACCCAATTCGGGAAATTCCTTACCCAATAACTCTACAAGCTGTCGGCATTCCCTAAATACTCTGCCAAAACCGACGCTGTGACCGTCTTCTCCCCTTTCTTCGTCTTGGAATTCCCCGGGCTGCAAGAGCATCCCTCATGAACAGATCTTTCGTCGTCTTCGGTGCCACGAGTTGCCATTGGTAAGCCATCTCCGTCATGTTCTGTTCCAAATCCTTCTCGACCCCTGAAAACGGTAACTGTTTCGGGGACCGGGACGAGCGCAATCTTGTACGCGATGAGAACACCGAAGCTCGCTCCGCCGCCACCGCGAATCGCCCAGAAAAGATCCTCCCCCATCGAAGCCCTGTCGAGAAGTTTCCATTCACATCGACAATTTGGGCGTCCACGCGTTGTCCGTCGACACCCCGTACTTCCTCAAGAGGTTTCCGTACCCGGCGCCGCTCACGTGCCCGCCGACTCCGACCGTAGGGCAAACCCCGCGGGGAACCCGAGGACGTTTGCTCTTCTCCGAGATTCGGTAGTAGAGTTCCCCGAGGGTGGCACCGACCTGGACCCAGCGGATTTGCTAGCGGCGTCGATTTCGATGGAGCGGGAAATTGAACATGTCGAGGATGAAGAAGGGGGAGTCTGAGACGTAGGAGAGGCCCTCGTAGTCATGACCGCCGCTCCGGGTCTTGAGCAGGTAGCCGGCGGCCTTGGTACAGGTGATGGCGGCCTGGATGTGGGGGATTTGGTCGGGGTTATGATGATTGTGGGTTTGGGGGTGGAGGACGTGTTGAAGAGGGCGTTTCGGATGTAGGCTTGGAGGACCGAATTGAAGGATGGGTTTGTCCGGGGAGTAAATCAGGTCGGAGATCTTGTCTTCGGGGGCGGGTGTTGGTTTCCATGCAGCGGAGGAATGATTCGTAGACGGAGACATCGGCAACGGCAACAACGACGGTGGCCAGAGAATGGGAAGAGATGAGGAGGAGGAGGAAAGAAAGGAACGACGAGAGAATTTTGTTGGTGGGCCTTCATTTGGTTCGCGGTGGTGTTTTTGTTTGTCCTTATGCGTTTATATGCTCTGCTCGGGGTACTAGATCGGAGAGGGCTTTATATTTGTTTTATTGTGTATTTTTTGGAAAAAACGATAGCAAGATATGTTAAAAATAGCATGTATTTCACCACACACAGAAAAAGTATTATCTGCCGTAGATTTTTTAATAACTCGCTTGAAATTTATTACTTACCAAATAGTTGTTACCAAATTACGATTAGCTAAAAATTGAGGGACTAGAAAGATGGATGGTGGCAATAGCAGGTTAGCGTGGTTGCTTATGTTTGAGAAAATCGTGGTGGCTATCAAAATCTACACTTTTAATTATTTTTATTTTACTTTATTTTTAAAATAACGGTGAAAATTAGATTAAAAGTAATTTTGAAAATGAAAAATATACCTATCTAAATACTCTATATATCAAATTGACGGTAACCCCATTCGTATTGTCATCACTAATGCCTCTGAAGTCCAACTTTCAGGATATTATTGTCATTGTTTCCTTGATGGTGATTGAACGATATACTTTCAAGATCTCTTTATACCATAGATTGTAAAATCGTACCTAAAGTTAGACCGAAAAAAGCTGTAATAAAGTATTTTTTGCTGAAATCATGATTTAAATGATTCAACAATTTTACACCCTTAAAAATCGTCTATCAATTTAGACTATAATATTATATTTTGTCGATTGAATCGTCTATACAGTACGATTTTACAAACACAATTTATACCCGGCTACTTCGTCCCCCTAGCGTGAACAACACTAGCCGCCAGCAACAGTGAGGCCGATAAGCCTTCTTTCGTTGATGGGCTGCCTCCTGCTCGGCCCATGATATACATAATGTGAGTGGCGCCTCGGTCACACACACCACTGGACATGCGTCCACAGGCCCATTCACCAACTCAGGCCATATCCACGCTGACGATAAGTCAATCACAACATGCTGAAGAAGAAGAATCACTACCAACCAACCATTCTATGCTTCAAATCCAATATTGTCAGAACCGAACTGGAGCATCACCCGATAATGCTAACGACTCGCATTTTAGTGGTCCAACCGGCATTAGACCGTTTAAAAATTGTTAGAGAATCTGTACCTAATAAACGTTATTAGTATAAATAGTTGACATTTCTTAATCAGAGCTCGTCTCTTTCCTTCGAAATTGTGAAATGGAAATAAGGATTCAGTTTGAGAGCCCGACGTTTTTGGTTTATTTCAATTTTCAATTTTCCGCAATTTTTTAATTAAATTTAACTGCTGAATGGCAAAAACCGGACGAGCCGCTCGAGCGGTTAACCGCCTCGGCCGCTCGTCAACCACTACATAAAACCGGTGCGGCTTTTAGACTGTCCCCAGCCGATTTTGTGACTGTGTGGCGGTTTTACTGGTGGGACCGAACGGCTCGGCTTTAATAACACTGCTCAAATCTATAAAAGAACAAAAAAAAAGAGGATTTTTTTCTCTGACTTGCTAAAAACAAAAATTCACAGTACCGTATTATACTAAAATTTCTCAAAATATACAAAAACTGGGGGTTGTGTAGTGTTTAGCAATTTAGAAAGTAGATCGCTTCAGACAACAACGATTTAGGTAGATCGTTTCAGTCTCGAGTGATATGTAACAACTTATAAAGTGGATCGCTTCAGGCAACAACAATATATGTGGATCGCTTTAGTATGGAGCTTTTTTTAATATATATATTATAACTTCAAACGATAGTATTTTTGTGCTCGATTTTCCAATCGACGCAATTTGTTTTAATTTTTCATAAGTTTTATGAGAGGATAATTTTCAGAATGTATGCTAAAATTTGAAACCAGCTCTAAAAGTAACTAAAGCCTCTAAAGTCTAAAGTCTAAAATAAGGTCATTTGCTGCCTTTATAAGCCATTTTGTGATTTTGCTAAACTTTATATTACTGTAATTTCGTGATTTGCCATCCCATCGGGTAAATTTTGTTTTATTTTGCATAGATTTTTAAGTACTACAATTTTATTAAGGTAATTCTTTAAAAAGAAGGGCATTTTTTTTTTAGGTGTTTTGAAGATAATTTGAGATTTTTTCTTCATCTTTCGCACATCCTAAACTTTTACCCTACTAAAAGTCGTAGTTCTAGAAAAGGTTACGCAAAATAAAAATAACAAAAAATGTGTCAATCGGATAATCAAGTGCAAAATTACGTTCGTTTGAAGCTATGACATATTTTTTTTATAAGTGTGAAATATTTTTTTATAAGGGTGATATAGATTTCAATTTGTTGTCATTAAGATACTACTTGAAAGATTCGAACCTGGGACCTCCAAGTTCTATGCTAGTGGTAATACGAGTAGGCCAAACTCTTGTTCGTGGAGCTCTGACATATATTAGTAGCAGATCGTTCCATACTTAAACAATTCCCTTGCAGATCGATCTATATTGAATAGATCTACCAAGATCACTGCTATTTGATGCATTATGCTTCCTAATCCTAAACCTTTGAACAAAGCAACGAACCACCTCCAAGTGTATTTTGAAATTTCTTAGTGTGTAAGTTGGTGTTATGAGAATTGATTTTAGTAAGTCCTATATTTTGGGGAAAAATCGAAAGGAAGAAGACTATCTTTTATCTTTTTCTTGTTGTAGCTCAACCCAACAATGCTCTTATATACACGATCAGCTGTGCTTCTCCTTCTGTGATTCCTCCCGTTCAACAATAATGGCATCACCGAATCTTGAGTTTGTGACCGTACGACGAGTCTGCAGCTTTCAAAACCCATCCTCCATTACTTTCTGCTTATCCTTCTTCCCTCTTCTTACACTTATCCAGCCCTTAGGAAATCAGCAGGCGAAGGAATGCTCTGCTCATATCTGAAAAAATTGCCAGGATCCACCTTCGTCTTCACTTCCACCAGCCTCTCAAAATTACCCTTAAAATACTTCATCCCCCAAACACTGGCTTCCTCGTAACTCACATTCCCGTCTCCATTCACCCCCAAATCCACGTCCCTGTAATTCAGATACGAACACCTCGGCGATTTCGATACGAACGGCGTCATAAATTCGTACATACTCGTCATTCTCCCCAGATTCTCCTGCCTTGCTTCCGTCCCTTCCTCTTTCCATGTCACAGAGTACTGAATCTTGTACAAGTTCCCTGCTCTGTGTGGGAAAGGAGTGTCCTTTTCTGAAATCTGCCCCATTCTGCCGCCGTAAGGGTTGAATGTGAGGATGGGTTTCCGGAGCTGAATCATCTTATCCCACATCGCTTCCAAACCCTCCTTGGAAATTGGCTCCTGCACGTAATCCGATTTCTTCTTCACGAATTTCTCCGGCTTCGGATGTCTATCCCGGAGAACCTCTGTCGACGTTTCAGGTGGATAATTGGACCAAAAAAGCACCGATTCAATCCAGCTCATCTCCAGACAGTCCGCCGGAGACAAACCCAGTTCAGGAAACTCGTGGTCCATTAAACCCATCAGCCTCTCTGTTTTCCCCAGAAACAGAGCATTGAATTTTGCCTTTATCGTGAATTTCTCTTCATCGCCGCTGGTTATCGGAACCGGGATTAACACGACCCTGATGAACAGATCTTCGTGCAGTTTATCGGCGATGAGCTGCCATTTGTGAACAACGTCGGATGCTCCTTGCTCCAACGTCCTTTCGACTCTGAAAACGGTGACGGTTTCGGGGACAGGGACTAACCTAATCTTCCAGGAGACGATAACCCCAAAGCTCGCGCCGCCGCCGCCGTTAATCGCCCAGAAAAGATCCTCCCCCATAGCTTCCCGATCCAAAACCCTCCCATCGGAATCGACGATGATCGCGTCAACAACATTATCCACCGACAATCCGTGTTTTCGCATCAAGTTGCCGTACCCCCCTCCACTGAGAAACCCGCCGACGCCGACGGTGGGGCAAACCCCACCGGGGAACCCAAGGATCTTGCTATTCCCGGCGATCTCGTGGTAGAGCTCGCCGAGAGTTGCGCCGGAATTGACCCAGGCTGTCTCGGATTCGACATCGATGGTAACTGACCGGAGATTGAACAGATCGAGGAGGACGAAGGGGGAGGGTGAGACGTAGGAGAGGCCGTCGAAATCATGGCCGCCGCTGCGGATTCGGAGCTGGAGGCCGTGGGCTTTGCAGCAGAGGATGGTGGATTGGATGTGGGAGACGTGGGTCGCGGCGACGATGAAGAGTGGGCGCGGGGTGGAATCGGAGGCGTAAACGAGGTTGCGAATGTTGGATTCGAGAGTGGAGGTGTAGAGAGGGTCGGTGGGGAAGTATATTGCTTGAGAGATTGGAGTGGATGAATGGTTCGTTAGGCATTGGAGGTATTTGTGTTGAGCTGGATCTGCTGCGGAGGAGGAGGGACTTGCCATTGAAAAGGGGATAAGAAGAGAAAGAGGAAAAGGCAAAGAATCGAGTGAATGGATGGAGACCTTGTCGTCATTGGCATTGTTCAAATACTACTTTTTGAAACAATTTTACCCGGCTGGTGTTCTTCTCTGTCGTTTTGTTTCCATTACTGTTTCTGGTTTTCGATTTTCGGTTTGATGACGTTCTTTACAACTGTTCGTCGGTTCTTTGTTCTGAATTCTCATTTCAAAAAATCAGCACGGATCATAGATGCATCTGTTGTAATTTTGTTTTGCAGATTTTTTTGCTGGTTCAGTTTTTTTTTTCCCCAGTTATCTAGAGAGCATCATCAAATCAACGGTCTCTCGTTGAAAATTTTCGAGAAGAAAATTTGATGACATAGCTCTTCGAAAAAAATATTCACAAATCGAGTTATAGAATCATCATTATGGATGCGAATGAATGATTGATGGTCGGACTCTAGCTCTTGTCGTCTCTCTTGCCTTTGAAGAACTAATTACCACTTTGATTGTCTTTAGAGGACAAATAATAGATATCGATTTAAGACGTATCGAATGAAGAATGTGACAAAAAAAAATTACATTTGTGATACAAACTATGAGGACTTGTCTATCTTCATCCACTTATGTCGAATTGTTAACAAGCCTAGAGATTCACTAAGGATGTCAAAGTTGATGGCTAGAAAGGTCCTTGCCAACAACCTTCCCTTCTTTTGGATCAATGAGTTGAGAGCATTGAGAGCATTATAGATAGGTAAGACTGAACACTGATTTTATTCTTTCTGTTTTTTTTTTCGATTGCTTTATAAATTTAAAAATGAGGGTTTTTTTATTTAAAAATCCAAAGATTTGAGGCATTATGAATTTGAAATAATTTTTTGTTTATTGAGATGCTTTGATCATGGATTTATGAGTTTGGAATTTAGAACTTAAAGTCCAGAATTAACTTAATATCTTTTTCTAAATGTTTGTCATATCATAAATGTACTCAAACAAGGACAATACATACATACTAATAATAGTAAACAAGAAAATTCCATTTAATCTAACTTATATTAGTTACCGATTCCTTGTCTTCTATTTCAAAAGTAACATATAACAACATATATTAGAATCGGGAGAACAAAAAATTTCATGTTCCATGAAACAATAAAAGGAAACTACAACACAAAAAAGACATAGAAAATCTAACTCATGTTTGGACATGAATTGAATATTTATATTATTATTTTGTTGTTAATTAATTGATTAATTATAATGTAAAATAGGTAAACTCCCATAAGGGCATATGGATAAACTCTCATCATGGACTTGTGAAATATACCAAATCCCATATCAATATTAGGGATTTACAAATTCGTGCAGTCCACGAATTTGGATCTTTAAAATCTATAAATCCCACACATTTGATCCTAAAAAACTGCAAACAAACAATAAATTTCCTTTAATTTCATGATGGATTGAATTTAGATACCAAATCCATCAATCAAATCCCCGAAACAAACTACACTTCTCATAAGTGTTCTGATTCTCCTTCGTGGGATGATCATGTCAAAATTTGTAAGATGTGATTTTGTAATTAGCTTACGATGAATGAATGGATTTGTTTATTTTTATTTTTGAGAATGAATAGATTTGTTAATTCAAGAAAAAATAGTGGTTTCTTACTTTTTACTTTTTACTTTTTAGGCAATGAGAGTGAACGCAAAAGCGGGTGAAGAATGCTCTGAATACGGGCATAAATCTAGGGGGTCATTTGGATTGAGAAATGTACTAAGGAGAGATTTGGATCCAATTTCCTGATTTAAAATTCCAGAGATTTCTATTCAGGTTTTTGTTTAATTATTCCGTTTGTGTGTTGATCAACATTTCATTTATCAGCATTTTAATTTTTAATGATAGATAGGAAAGTACAATATTGCCCTTCCTCCTCCTCTCCCCTCCCCCTCCCTCAATGACCAAAGTCCATCGTCGACGTTGGTGAAGAAATCAAGCTCAATAATAGACCCAATCTCTCGTCGTTGGTTGCCTTTCTCCCGCTGCCAATTGTTTCTACGGCGAAAGTCCTTCAAACAAAGCAGATTTGGAATCCAACATATGGGTTTCCAATAGAGCTGCTCTACTATTATACCCTTTGTAGAAGCCAACACCCATTTCTGATTCTTCCCCTGCCACTTACCGTCGACTTTCGTTGACCTCCACCGACATTTATTAATCTACTTCTTCATCGCCGGAGACTAGCATCAGAACGCCCATCGTGCATCAAGCCTGGCGCCACCCAGCTTCTGTCCACACATACCTAATTTTCTTCATACTCTGTTCCCCATCCCCAATCCATTCGCGCTGCCGCCGGTGACCAATGAAATCCGGTGGGAAATTAGCCACGCCAGACAACAAAGGGACTCAAACCCATGTCGAGCTGACGACGACGAAGCCGGAGACTCCCACTCCCAAATTCAGAGTTCCCCATGCCTCCACTTTTCCCGATTCTCCAGGGACGTAGAGGTCAGCGATTCCCTCCCCTGTTTCGATCCATTTATATGTTGTTAATTTGATCTCTGCCCTGTATTCACAGAATCATAAAATCGCTGTAATTAGAAACCAAATACGCAATATGCAAGATGAAGCTTGAATGGAAGTGGCAGGGGATGCGATTGGTGAAGGAAGGCAAAGCTTGTTCGAGGCAGACTGTGGGCGGTCGTGGATCTAAATTCGGGTTGCAGACCTGAATTCTTCGCTGACCGCGTAGGGAAAGAAAGCAGAGTGCGGCGGAGGAAGAGGAGAAAGGAGACGAGTCAGGGGCGGCGGTGGAGGAGGATGTGGTGGTGGTCGTCTCTCTCGCGTCGTCGGTCTCTCTCGCATCTAACTTCGACGAGATTGGCTCTGAGCACGCTGGGATGCAGCCGCGCAAGGACAAATCGTCGTCGGTCGTCTCTCTCGTAGCCACGCAAGGGCATGTTGGGAAGAAACCAAAAAATTGGGGCCGAATTTTAAAATACCTGGGGGCTGGCAGCTATATCTAATTCCGGGTTGGGCCGAATTTCAAAAACCCTAAGGCCCAATTCTCACCATTTATTTTGGCTATCCAAACAAGAGAATGGGTTAAATTCTTGGACGGACTAGGATTTGGGCCGAATCCTTGCCCACAATTCTGAATCCAAACGACCCCTAGGTGTCTTTCCCTCGCAGGCCCCAACCACAAAATCCAAAAGGACGTACGATTGCTCGTTAAAATCTTTGCGTCAGTTAGTACGTCGATCCAGTGAATTATTAAGGCCCAATTGAAGAAAATATCGAGCTGAGCAAAGGTGGATCAGAAACCCGCAAAGCAAACAGTTGCAGGGTCTCTGGTTATTTATATCAGAATCCATAATTACTGTTTAACAACGGTAACAAGGGTTTACGTTGACACGTGTAAACTCCTTAGTAGCGGAAAATAAACTAACTGCACTAACAAAACGGAAATACAAATGTATTTAAGTAAAATGCATAGTTCAGGCGAATGCTCGAAATGCTCCCCATAAAGCGAATCGTATTCAAGCCCGAAACGTTCTGTTGCAGTCTTCTTCGCATAAGAACATCTCCTCTGCTGCTGCACTTCAACTCTGCAATAGCTGCTTCGTCTCCATGAGCATCAAGAGATGTGAGGATTCTGATTATGTACTTTGACAGCCCCCTCAAGCTGGAGGGTCTGCACTCCAAGCTTGTCTAGTAGCTCCTTGATCCGATATCGACTCAACGCTTTAGTAAACAAATCGGCAACCTGATCTGCAGATCGAACATACACCATCTTGATTAATCCAGACTTCACCCTGTCTCTGGTCACATGAACATCAATCTCTGTGTGCTTAGTTCGCTCGTGGAACACGGATTTTTCTGCAATATGAATGGCCGATTTGTTATTACAAAACACAAATATAGGCAGAGATACATCCACACTCAATTCTGCAAGAAACCCTTTCATCCACTGCAATTCACAAACCAGTTGAGCTAATGCTCTATATTCAGGTTCAGACGAAGATCGAGATACTGTTGTTTGCTTCTTTGCTTTCCATGTAACCAAGGAACTCTCAAGGAACGTGCAGTATCCACTAACGGATTTTCTGGAATCAGGGCAGCTGGCTCAATCAGAGTCGTTGTATCTTGTTAACTGCAAGGATGCATCAGCAACAAAGAAAATTCCTTGATTGGGAGAACATTTATGTATCTAATGACTCTGATTGCTGCCTGGAAATGCTCAGTGTAAGGATCCCTTTGAAATTGACTGAGCTGCTGCATAGGGAATGTCAAGTCGAGTTGTGGTGAGATAATGCAGGCGCCCTATCAAGCGTCGATACTGTTTAGGATCATCCAAAGGTTGACCTTGCTTTGCCCTCAAATTAACCTTAGGATCTAAAAGAGATTTACAAGGCTTTGCATCCAAGTAACCTGTATCCTTCAATAACTCTAAACAGTATTTGCGTTGGCATACTGCAATCCCTGAACTGCTTCTAGTAATCTCAAGGCCCAAAAAATACTTTAGACTTCCCAAGTCTTTAATCTTAAAATGCTTGCTTAAGAACAACTTAACTTCTTTCAACATCTCTTCTGTCTTCCCCTCCAATGATTATGTCATCGACATAAACAAGAACAACCACAAAGCGACCATGTACCCATTTAGTAAACATGGAATAATCTGATGCAGATTGGGTGAAACCATGTCTTAGCAAGGAAGAGGTAAGCTTGGAAAATCACTGTCTGCTTGCCTGTTTAAGGACATATAGTGACTTACGAAGTCTGCACACCAACTTTTCAGCTCCATGTGCTCTGGAATCTCCTAGTGGTAAAACCATGTGCACCTCTTCGTCTAATTCGCCATGAAGAAAAGCGTTTGAGACGTCCATCTGATCAAGCACCCACCCTTTGTGTGCTACTACAACTAGTAAAGCTTTGACAGAGTTAATTTTAGCAACGGGAGAGTAAGTATCCAGAAAATCCACACCATAAACCTGCGTAAACCCTTT